GGGATCGCGGGGCTGGGGGACGTGGCCGAGGTGCGCAAGAGCTTCAACCGCCACCTCCACTTCACCCTCGTCAAGGACCGCAACGTCGCCACCCCCCGCGACTACTACTTCGCGCTGGCCCACACGGTGCGCGACCACCTGGTCGGGCGCTGGATCCGCACCCAGCAGCACTACTACGAGCGGGACCCCAAGGTGAGCCCCGGCCGGGCATCCCCATGGACTTGTCCCTCGCGCGCACCCCGCCGTGGCTGCGTCTGCTGGGGCGTCACCGCAGCTGTGGCTCCTTGCCATGGCCGTGTCGCTTGTGCTCCTCACTGTGGCTTCGTCCTCGTGGGCATCGCCATGGCCGTGTCCCTCACCTGCACCTCGCTATGGCTTCATCCCCCTGGGCATCGCGATGGCCGTGTCCCTTGTGCACTTCACCATGGCTTTGTCCTCGTGGGCATCATCATGGCCATGTCCCTCACCTGCACCTTGCCATGGCTTTGTCCCCCTGGGCATCGCGATGGCTGTGTCCCTTGTGCACCTGACCATGGCTTCGTCCTCGTGGGCATCGCGATGGCCATGTCCCTCACCTGCACCTTACCATGGCTTCGTCCCCACAGGCCTTGCCCCGGCTGTGTCCCTCACGCACATCTTGCCATGGCCATGTCCCCATGGCTCCTTTGCAGCCCTGTCCCGACGAGCCTTGCTGCGCCGCGTCCCCCCTCTGGCATCCCCATGACTGTGAGCCCCCACGCCCGGTCGCGGCCGCATCCCCTCTCCCCGGGCTCCTCTGCACACTTCACTGCAGCCGTGCCCTGCACTCGCACCACCACAGTGGTGTCCCCGGTGGGCATCGTCACCTCCAGGTCTCAGCACATGCCTCAGCGCAGCCATGTCCTGGCTTCGTTCCCGCAGGGCCTGCAGGCAGCTCGGCTCCGAGAATGGAGAGGAGTTTCTTGCCTCGTACGAACCAGACAAGCTCTCCTAGGTCGCCAAGCCCTTGGGAACTGGTGGCTCCCGGGGTACTTGGATGCTCACGTGCCCTCTGGAGCAGAGTGAGGGCCTGCTCCCCCCTCTCCTCCCCGCTTGTCAAGTCAGGACGGCGGTGCCGGAGGTGTTGGGGTCTGCAGGACTTTATTCAGCCCTAAGCCTTTCGAATTAAGGGCCAATCCAGACTTAACCAGAGCGCCCCAGGGGGCAGGTGCGCGCTGGAGAAGGCAGATACCTTCCCAGCGTGCAGGTGGCGGCCTCCTCCAGTCAGCTCTGTTCTCGGGGTTGTGAGTATTGCCTTGGCAGGAGAAACAAACTGCACTTTCACGCCGGTACAGCTGCGCACACGCTGGGAGTTACGCCGGCGCGTGGAGCTCTCCCTTTTTATCCTTACTCACGTAAATACGCTCTGATCCGTATTGTTGCGCTAACAGAAGGGGTTGCGCAGATCCCACGAAGGCTACGAGGAGCTTGGCGCAGGTTTGCTGACTGGCCCCGGTGCTTAGATTTTTCCCTAGAAACGCATCCCTGCAGGAGACTGAAAGGAGCAGAGCCTTTATTCAACTGTGCGGCGCTTTCAGTCTTTCCCATGAGCCCCAAGGGACAGACGGACCCTTTCTGGCTCCCGGCGGAGGTGGCAGAGCGGGTAATCCTCCTGCTTAGCGTGTCCCGAGGGTAGCGGGGAAAGAGCCCAGCTATGAAGGGAGGAGACTCAAGGGGAAGCACGATTTAAAGTCAGGCTATTGCTCCGCTGAAAATTCCTGTCTGCTTATTACAGTATCTATAGCGATAAATCCAAGCGGGGACAGAGGTCTGCGCAGCCCGCTTCTCGTGCCGCAAACAGGCTTTCACTCGCGTCCGTGGCACAGGCGCGGCTCCTCGGGAACTGGGAAGGTGACCGCCGAGCAGCCTGTCACGCAGGGCTGTGCCGGGAACCCTGGCACCCATGGGACTTTCTGTTCGTTCAACAGGAACTTACCGCGGGGAGGAGAGGAGGACCCGTGCGGTTGGCGCGCTGGAGAATCACTAGCAGGAAAGGGGGGGGCCCGGCCCTGCACCCGGCAGGGGGCTCGCGCGGCCGGCTTTCGGCAGGCTCTGGATCAGCTTCAGCTTGGCACGGGAAAACTTTAAAAGCCCAGCGTAAGCATCACCTCAGCTGAGCTTGTCAGTGTATAAATACACTGTTCAGCATCCTAGATAATTCTTGCCCTAAGTTAATTAGGGAAACACTTGACGGGCAACGAGGTTTTTCTATAGAAGGCTGTTGGCAGGGGGATGCGTGGCAGAGGGTTGGCTCGCGTCCCGCGCGAGATCCTTCGACAAACAAACTGCGGTGCGTGGTGCTCGGGAGCAGGCGCCAAGAGACGGTTTGGGAAGACGTCCCTGCTCTGGAAAGCGCTTGGGTCTGCTCTTGATTCTAAGCGACTTTGGCCGAGGGCAAGCGCTGTGCTGTGTGTTAAGCGTCTTGCTTTGCCTCCCCAGCGCATTTACTACCTGTCCCTGGAGTTCTACATGGGCCGCACCCTGCAGAACACCATGGTGAACCTGGGCCTGCAGAACGCCTGCGACGAAGCCATTTACCAGGTGAAGTCTTGGGGTACTGGGGTCTCCCTGAGGAACTGGCCAAACTCTTCCACGCGGAGGGATGGGTGTCTTTATTTCCCAGGGCTTCCTCCCAAGGATGTGTTATTTTGACGAGACGAAGTGAGGCTTGGCTCTCTGTTAGTGTTTTTCATCCCCTAGAGAAGACCACGGGGGGACCTTAGGGTTGCTTGAGAGCTGGAGCATGGTTTTCTCAAACCACTGTTTTCCTGTAGTGGCTGGGGAAAACAAATCCAGAAGAGGATCCAGAAAGCAACAGCCAGTATCCCACAAGGCTAGGGACTCCCAGGCCGCAAGTAGCTTTCCGGACCTGGGAGAGATGATGGCTCATCGCGGGAGACGTAGTCTAATGGGGGAGGCCGGGCCAGAAGGGGAAACCGAAGCACGAAAACACCAAATTACAGCTCACACTTGCAGGTACACAAGGCCGTGCAGCAGTGCTGCCAGATGAAAGTGAATCACTGGGAAGGAAGAAAGGAGGGAAATTGTTTGTTTTAATTAAAATGTCATCGGATGAGTTCAAACTGGAAGAAACCACAGCTGAGTACCACCAAGGCAATCACAAACGCAAGGCCATGGTTACTTAGGCTTGCAGTCATCCCTGCAGCAGAACAGTTACCTTTTTGACAGAGTTTTTGGGCTCTCTCACCCAAAAGCTTTATTTTCCCCCTCCTCTTCCCCCTCGTGCTACCGGATTGATCCAAGTTACACTTCCAGGCAGAAGCTGGGCTCTGTCACTGTCTCTCAAAGTAAGGTGCTGTGATTGCTGAGGAAACGTCCTGGCCGGCACTTTCCCTGCCGAGGGATGGGAGAGGATTTCCAGGGAGGGACCTGACACGTTTCCTCTCCGCGGTGTCGTGCCTCGGAGGGCAGGCTGGTTTTTTTCAGAAAGGATCCTCAAGTCCCTTTGCAAGGCATTTTCCACGCGCTGATTTGGCCTGGCGTGCGAGTGGAGGCTTCCCTCGCTGTAGCCTCCGACATGTGGAGCTCATCACGGCTGGTGGCCAGCTGGGGTGGGAGGTCTCGTCTCCAGCATGGCTCTGTCACTGAGAGAACTCGCCTCAGTTTTCGTGACCCCGTCACAGTGTCCACGAGGCTTCCCCAGCTTGTGGCTGCAGGCCGCTCAAGCACTGGGAGAGCGGTTTGGGGAGCAGCCATGGTGTCGGCCTGACTCCCCCCTGCCCCCTGTGCCACCGGGGTGAGATACTGCTGCCCTCTGAGAGGCAGCATCTCTGGAGTCCTGGAGTGTCCTTGCTGCTGGCACGCTCAGCCTTCATCCGGCAGCAGCCCCCGGGCTGGAGAACAAATGGCCCAAGAGATGCAGCAGAACAGACAACCACTTCC